CCTAGGTATAGTCCAGAAGGAAGGGGAGTCCATCTAGAGCTATATAAAGTGATTCAACGACGTGTGCTTACAGATACCATGCTTAGACCCCACAGTATAGCTCGCGGCAGCCAAGAGGGGAGTGACGCACAAGGAATTCAAATGGCACATGGTGGTCAACCAGCCCRCAACCATAGCTGAGTTCCTCAAGCTCGCGGATAGGTTCATAAGAACGGAGGAGGAGATCAATCAAAGAGATGATGGCGGGTTTGAAAAAAGGAAAAGGGAAAGCGAACCCTCCAACCAAGAGGACAGGAGGAAGAAAGACTCAGCTCGGGGGGCAAAGCCAAGTCAGTCGTTCCGAGCTCCCATGGCAGATCGGGCAGACTATACACCCTTGAATGCGAAGCGGGCCGAGATCCTGATGGCGATCAAAGACGCCCCGTAAATGAAGTGGCCACCCCGTCTGAGAGGGAACCCGAATGAAAGAAATAAAAATTTATATTGCAACTTTCATAGAGACCACGGTCATAGTACCGAGAACTGTAATAATCTCCGCGACGAGATAGAGGAACTCATTCATCGCAGATACCTAAGGAATTTTGTACAGAATAATGGTAATAATAATAATAATAGTAAGGCAGGTCGGTAGGGGGAGCACAATAGGGATGCTCCCGAGTCCAGCAACAAGCCAGCAAAGCAGTCACAGAAGCAACCCCCGGAGGAGAGACCAGTTCGGGGAATGATCCATGTGATCGTCGGAGGGTTGATTGTAGCGGGTTGCACCTTGGCCGCAGCTCGGGCATCAACCCGTGAGGCTGCCAGAGAAGAGCAGAATCCCCCGAAGCGGCGAAGGACAGAAGACCCCATACTCTTCACCGAGGACGACGTGCACGGAGTTCACTACCTCCACGATGACGCGCTCGTCATAAAGGTAAAGATTAATGATTTTGAAGTCAAGCGCGTTCTCGTTGATTCAGGCAGTTCGGCAGACATCCTTTTCAAAGCGGCTTTCGACCAACTCCAGTTCCAAGAGAGTGACTTGAAGCCCGCGAACAGCCCACTGGTCGGCTTCAGCGGAGAGGAAGTCAGGCCCCTGGGTAGGGTTACAGTATTGTGGAAGTCAGCATGTGGCCTAGAACAGTGAGGCTCAAACACGACTTCTTGGTGGTTGCGACCCCCTCCCCATATAATGCCATAGTAGGTCGGCCGATCACCCATGCTTTAAGGGCTGTGGTGTCCACCTACTATTTAGCCATGAAGTTCCTCACAGACTTCGGCATCGGGGTAGTGCGGGGCGACCAGCTTGAGTCCCGCAAATGCTACGTCGCCGCCCTCAAGGGAAAAGCCAAGGTGGCCAGCGACCTCGAGTTGGAGCAACCCGTGGAACAGAACGAGGAGCGAGCTGTGCCCACGGAGGAGACCGTTCTCATCCCTGTCTCGGCAGAGGACCCAGCCCGAGCCCTTCAGATCAGCGCTTCCCTGGAGGAGCCCTTGTGATCCGAACTAGTACGCTTCTTACTCAGTAACTTAGATGTTTTTGCTTGATCCGCGGCAGAAATGCCCGACATAGACCCTAACCTCATAACTCACAAACTCAATACTGACCCTATAGTTAGGCCCATTAGACAGAAGAAACGCAACCTAGCCCCAGAGCGATGGAAGGCAGTCGACGAGGAGGTCGAGAAGCTCCTCGCAGCAGACTTCATAAGGGAAGTTCATTACCCGAGCTGGGTGGCCAACCCCGTTCTGGTGAAAAAGGCTAACGGCAAGTGGCACATGTGCGTCGACTATACCAACCTGAACCGAGCTTGCCCGAAAGATTGCTTCCCCCTCCCCAGGATCGACCGCCTAGTGGATGCGACCTCGGGGCACGAGTTGCTAAGCTTCCTGGATGCCTACTCAGGTTACAATCAGATAAGGATGGACCCGGCCGACAAGGAAAAGACCGCTTTCATAACCGAGTTTGGCCTGTACTGCTACAAGGTCATGCCCTTCGGGTAAAAAATGCGGGAGCGACCTTTCAAAGGTTTGTGAATAAGCTGTTTGATCCCTTTATTAACTACGCTAGAATGTAGACAACATGGTCGTCAAAACCCAATTTTCACATGAGTTAATACAAGATTTGCATTTTGTCTTTCAAATTCTGCGCCAATTTAACATGAAGCTAAACCCAAACAAGTGTGTCTTCGGTGCCACCTCGGGTAAATTCCTATGGTACATCGTCAACCGGCGCAGCATTGAGGCCAATCCGAACAAAATAAGGGCCATCTCAAATAGAAGACCGCCTCGAAAAGTAAAAGAGATTTAGGGGCTGAACGGCAGAATAGCCACTCTGAGTCATTTTATGTCCAAGCCAGCAAACCGCTGCCTGCCTTTCTTTAACGCAATGAAAAGCAAAGGGTTCGAATGGACCCCAGGTTGCCAGCTCGCATTTGACTAGCTCAAAAGATACCTCGCCAATATCCCAGTTTGGACCCGGCCCGAAGAGGGCGATGTCCTAGAGTTGTACCTCTCAGCAAGTGACGAAGTGTTCAGCTCGGTAGTAATAAAGGTAGTAGATCGGGTCCAACGACCCATCTACTATGTTAGTAAAGTGTTGCAGGGAGCGGAGACGAGATATCCGAAGATAGAAAAACTGGCCTACGCATAGGTCATTGCAGCCCGCAAGCTCCGCCCGTACTTCCAAGCCCATACCATTATCGTCCTCACCAACAAACCCCTAAGGCAAGTGTTACTCAGGCCCGAGGTCTCTGGTCGACTGACGAAGTGGGCCATCGAGCTCAGTGAGTACGACCTCCAGTACAAGCCGCGAACTGCTATCAAGGCCCAACCCTTGGCGGATTTTGTTGCGGAGTGCACATTCAGCTCCGAAGTTCCTAGACCGATTGAGCACGAAGCCCCCATTTCGAACGAGCTCGGTGCTCCCAGGCCGGTTGAGTCCAAGCACCGTGAGGTCGCACCCAATTCGGTATCTCTCCTGGTTAGGCCAAGCGCGAACTGGGATGAAGAGCCCTGGATCCTTCACGTAGATGGCTCCTTGAATCAGTAGGGCAGCGGAGCCGGATTAGTTCTGCACGATCCGAGTGGCACAAAATTGGAGTACACACTACGCTTCGAGTTCGCGGCATCCAACAACGAGGCGGAGTACGAAGCGTTGATAGCCGGGCTAGCCCAGGCCCAAGAAGTCCGCGAACCGACTATGATCGCCTACTTGCCAAAGTAAAGGAGGCTCTACTTAACTTCCAGTCACACTTCATCAGGCAAATCCCGAGGTCAGAGAATGCCGAGGCCGATGCCCGGTCCCGGTTATTCAGCACCAGTGATAACACCAGGAGGACCGTGTACATAGAAGACTTACCTCGACCTAGCATTCTCGGGGGGACAGAGGAGGTAGCTCCTGTCGTCCAAGCAGAGCCGACCTGGATCGATCCACTTGTGAGCTTCCTGCTACATGGGACCCATCCCACAAACCGCAATGCCAGCAGGAGGGTGGAGCGCCAGGCAGCCAAATACGTCATGATTGACGGGCGGTTGTACCGAAGATCCTACACGCTCCCCTACCTGCGCTGCTTGCGGCCTCCCGAAGCCGAGCTTGTGCTCCACGACATTCATGAGGGCCTATGCGGCGGACACCTAGTGGGCAGGGCCCTCGCTCAAAAAGCACTACGGCAAGGGTAATATTGGCCAACAATGAAAGTAGACGCTGTTGAGTTAGTCAGAAAATGCGATAAGTGCCAGAAGCATGCCAATATCCACCATCAGCCCGCCGCCGATCTCAAGTATCACCATAGTCCATGGCCCTTCGCGCAATGGGGCATCGACATACTTGGGCCATTCCTGCCAGCAACAGGTGGGAGGAAGTTCCTAGTAGTGGTGGTAGATTACTTCACAAAGTGGGTAGAAGTTGAACCTCTCGTAACAATCACGGCCCGAAACGTTCAAAACTTCTTTTGGAAGAACATTGTGTGCCGCTTCGGATTACCTCGGGTACTGATTTCCGACAACGGCAAGCAATTCAAGGATATCAAGTTCCAGGAATGGTGCCAAGACATGGGAATTCGGCAGAACTTCACGTCAGTTGCACACCCACAAGCAAATGGTCAAGCAGAAGTCACGAACAGAGCTATCCTCCGCGGACTGAAGGCTAGGCTAGACCGAGCTAAAGGACTATGGACGGACGAGCTACCCAGCGTCCTATGGGCCTACCGAACTAAAGAGAAGACCGCCACCGGAGAAACTCCCTTCAACCTCACCTATGGCACGGAGGTAGTCATTCCAGCCGAAATCGAAATCCCCTCATTACGACTGGAAGCATACGGCGACAAGACCAATGAAGACGAGCTACGTACCAACCTCGACCTACTCGACGAGGTGAGGAACCTCGCCTACATCAAGATCGCAGCGTACCAACAAAGGGTAGCTCGGTACTACAATGCCAGAGTCAAGAAGCGAAACTTCCGCGTCGGCGACCTGGTTCTCCGCAAGATCATGGTACCTGAGCCCGGCGTTGGCAAACTCGGACCAAACTAGGAAGGACCCTACCGAGTAAAGAGAGCGCTCGGAGGAGCGTACGAGCTCGAAACCCTGGAGGGAAAAAAAATACCCCGGGCATGGAATATCGTCAACTTAAGGCGATATTACCTATAAATTGCCAAACTGAGTGAACTATAAGTCGCTCCCAGAGCATAAGAGCCAAAATATCGAGCTAACAAGGACCTCGGCACCGTAAGACCCAATCGCCACTTCAGTGTGGGCAAACCCTAGGAGAGTATTCTAGCCAAGGGCTAAAGCGACGAGCTAATGATGACCTTGGCACCTCATCGACCAAGTGTTAGTGCCAAAAGAGCAGGCAGCACAGGGGACTTAATTCTAACTTTGACCCAAGCGGAAAACAGATCGGGCGTATAGCCTTACTATGTTAACTCTCCTCGAGAAATCCCCCCGCTTTGGGGACCTAATTCTAACAGTTCGGCAATATAGTCACTTCGGCAAAAAGAAAGAACGGCAGTGCACAACACTTAACCAGAAAAAGGTATTCCATTACCAACATTTCATTTACAATCGATTCAATACAAAGACAAAATAAAAACGAGCTCGCAGGCTCGGTACATATCACTTCGGAGGCACACCTCCCTCGATCAAGACATCAGAAGGAACTTCGACGGCACTTGAGGCGCCTGCTTCATTGTCGGAGTCCGGGTCCTCGTCAACCTGGAGAGCCATGTCGGGAGTAATGCGCGAGGTGGTTATGGCACGAGTGTCGAGTCCGGGGTACGTATGCCTTATCATCCACCATCTCAACTTGAAACCCCTCCGATACGAGCCCACCATCAGGTCGTCAAAGCGCTCTGACGCGATGGCTTGGAAGAAGATCTCGGACTTCTCCTTGATATCGGCCTTAAGGTATTCCACCTCGTGCTCCAAGACCCCTTTTGAGTTCGCGAGATGCTTTACAACAAGCCTCAAGGCCGCGTTCTCCCTCCGAAACCTCTCCAACTCGCGATCCATTGCAACCTTCTCCGACGTCAAGGTCCCGATGGCATTCTTCTGAGCCGAAGTATCACCCTCAAGACGATAGATCCACTCCCGAGCTATCCTTAGCTCGGTATGCGTTGCACGGGATGCCTCTTCGGCAGCTTGTGCCCGCTTCGGGTTCCTCTCCGATTAAATAGTTAAGGCGTGGATGGAGGAGTTTACCTGCCAAGCAAGAACAAGTCAGTCCAGCAAGAAGAGAATAATAAAGCATAGGTAAAACACCAAGGGAAACCACTTCGACTTACCACCATGGCATGAGACGCAGCGCGGGCACCGATGTGACCTGGAGGAAGTTCAGCCCATTCCAAAACCTCCCCAGGGTAGACAGCCTTTTTGCTCTTACAGAGAGCACAGCTTGGCGTCAACACACTACCGACCCCCTCCTGGCTCCCCGAGCTGGAGAATACCGTCTGAGTGTGGGAAGCTTCCGTAGTGTCGACGTCCCGAGCCTCTACAACCTCGGATTCCGCCGCAACCTCCGGAGCAGGCCCTGCCACCTCGGGCTCCCTGGGAGACTCCAGGTTGATGACTGGAGGATGGCTTGGAACTTCGGGCTCCACAGCCCGAGGAGACTCAACGCGAGCCTGCTTAGTAACCCGCCTTCTCCTCTTCATCCCGTCGAGCAGGTTGTCGCCACAGGTCTTCTCCTCCTCCATGACAACTGCGAAAGGAGCTCAGTATCAGTATAAAAAATAAATAAAAAAAAAAAAAAACATCCGAGTAAGAAACCTACCCGGACTCAGACCGGCTAAGCTTAGCCTCCGTAAGGTAATCTTTGCACTCGAGCCCGAGCTGGGCCCAAGACTGGAAGGTCTCCGCCATGTTCTTGTCTAACATGGCACCGAGGTCGTGAATAGCCGCCCTCCAATGGGTGGGGAACGGCCACCCCGTAGCACTTCGGACCACAAAGTAGTACCGCTTCCATGCTGGAACCTTACTTGGAAGCTCGTGTAGAAGCTTAAACCCCGTGCGGGGAGACAAGTAGTAGGCCCGCCTGTGCTCGGGAAGGAAGCTTGCATGCTTCTTAAGCGTGAGGGCGGAGAAGATTTCTAAATCTAGCGGGAGGACATATTCACAATAGAGGGAGATGGTCCCAACAACGTTGCGGATGGAGTTCGAGTGGAGTTGACCAACAGTGACGCCGAAGTGATTCAAGACCTCGACGATAAGGGAATTAAGGGGAAGGCGCAGCCCGGCGACGAACTGCTCCCGGAAAATCACGATCTCATCCGAACCATGCTCCCAAGGGAAGTCGCCCGTAGGTAAACTATAGGTGTACTCCCCGGTTAGATTGAACTGACGAACAAGAGACCGAAGTCTCTCAGACGTCATAGTGGAAGGTCCGAACTTATCTAGCATCCGAACTCGACGAGAAGTAGATGCCAGGCTGCTAGAGGTGACCCAGACTGAAGGCCCTACCTCCGGCTCATCCAGAAGGTTGTCGAAAGAAGCAGCACGAGCCGAGGTCCCCACCTCAGGCTCTCCTAGAAGACTATCTAAGCTTTCCGAACTAGACATTGAAAGGAAAGAAATTGAAAGAAAAGCTAAGGGGACTCATCACCAAGGAAAAGCTACCGGACTAGGAAAAGTGACGCAAGCTGAAGACCTTGAACGCGAGCTCAAAGAACAAGTGCTGAAGACTATAGCGAGGGAAACGTGACCAGGACCCCCGAGGTGAAATCAGTTTAGCGCAAATTTTTTACGTCCGAAATCTAATAATCGTTTGATGTCCGCGCGTGAGCTGTACGCGACCCGGGTTGACCCTTGGTCAAGCGGAACTAACCCTGATCGAGCCAAAGGCATAGGCGGGTCAGACCGGAGGATCACCAAGCTGGACGAAGCACGCCACGAGGCAAATCCACCTGTCATCCCGTGAACTCCCCGCACCGGGTCAAGACCCCGGGCACGGGGAGTGGGGGGCAATTGATGGAGGGGGATTTGGCCCAACCCCTTGGCCGCGCGACACGTGGAGGCAACCGGGTATAACCTGGCAGGAGCATCAGCTCGGCACAGCGACATAGCCATAGCCCAAGAAGAGGCTTGAGCCCCCCAAGGAGAGGCGCCCCGAGCTCCCCAAAGAGAACCCGTGCTTCCTAGGAGGTAGAACCCGAGCTTTCCTTAGAAATCCGGAGCTCTACAAGGAACACCACGAAAGGCAAAGCCCGGACTGACCCACCTCGGGTAAGTCCGGGCCACGCTCCTGTCCGAACTCAAGACTTCACCTCATGCACCACTCCGGCACCTCGGCTCCAGGCCGCATGACTGAACGACCGTACCTGACACCAAAGAAGTCCGCAATCTGAGGCGGCGCGCCTGACTGATCAGGGATCTGACACATGATAGCCGCACTCCAACGGCCACCTGCTACCGCCATCTCAGTCGTTGTAGAGACGGCTCCGACAGAGAAGACAGTGGCGGTTATGTCTGGCCCCCCGCAGAGGCGGTTATACCTGATTTGGCCGAGGCTTGGGAGTGAGTGCACCAAGGCGGTTATAAAAGGCCCTCTTCCCCCAGAGTAAAAATAGGTGATATTTTGCACCTTCTGGTCTAAGAGAATCTCTCATCTTCCTTGCCTTCTCAGAGTGCTAACTTGAGCGTCGGAGCATTCCCGCCGGGTTCCTCCACTGGTCTAAGAGAATCTCTCATCTTCCTTGCCTTCTCAGAGTGCTAACTTGAGCGTCGGAGCATTCCCGCCGGGTTCCTCCACTGGTCTAAGAGAATCTCTCATCTTCCTTGCCTTCTCAGAGTGCTAACTTGAGCGTCGGAGCATTCCCACCGGGTTCCTCCACTGGGGATCTCTTGTTTCCTCCCTGTTTCAGGTATCTCCCGCTCCATCCGAGGCAAGGTTACCGGCAGCTAGGACCAACCGGATCGCGCATCATCATTTAAAAGATCAAAGGGTTTGAGAAGAGAAAGAGAAAGAATAGAAGTACAAAGACATTTCCTTTTTTTTTGTTTTTTCCTGTTCTCTCTCACTAAATAAAACAGTAGATTTATCCTTGCTCTCTTTTATTTTCTATCTTAAATTTTTATCATATAAAATTATAGCCTTTGTTATTTGCTAATTGATGTGAAATTGCCTATTAAATAATTATTATATTAGTATTATTTTTGGAAACATTGAAATTAATTTATTTAAAAAATATTCTTATATATCTTTTTCATATGAAAATTTGCCATGTTTTTAAAGGAAATTAATGTTCTTAATAAAGATAACTTAATTGCTATTATGTCAATTAATATACATGATATATAAAAACTAGGAAAATAGACAAAATTTAGTTCTTTATTTTATAAAATTGTAATCGCCTAGGCACCCCAAGTGTCACCCAAAACTATGGTGCTTATTCCTAGAGAGGATTAAATAAACTGAACATTGAAATTTATCTATTTAGATTCAGTTTACCATTGTCCCTGTACATCAGACCTAAGTAAGAATTTCTAGTGAAAGAAGGCAACGGATTAGGCCCTACTTTGAAGAGCATGAGATTTTGGTGCAAGAGAAGATTAAATAAACTGAACAAAAGCTTTAAAAATTCCAGACAATAACATAGACAATGCTTTTAAGCTGAGGCACAAGAGAATTGCTAGTAAAAGATGTTGAATAGAAGCTTCAAAATTCCTGACAAGAACACATATGATGCCTTTGAGTTGAGGCACATGCCAAGGCACACACCTGAGAAAGGCGCAGTCCATGAAAAACCGAAAAACCGAGAAACCGAACTGAACTGAGAAAACCGAACCGCAAAATGCAGTTAACCAAACCGATCGGTTTAGTTTCGGTTCGAGATTTTTGAAAAACTGAAGGACCGCTTCGGTTTTCAGTTAACTTACAAAAAATTGACGGTTAACCAAACCGACCGGTATATATATTTTTATGTGTATTTTATATATATTTAATATATATGTCATATTTTCTATGTATTATATATATAAAAATATATACTTATATTATATTTATAATGATCTATTTATAAATATATTATATATTTTTCAAATATTTATAATATATTATGTATCATTTATTATTTATAATATAATATTATATATATATATATATTTGTATAATATTTTATAAATATAAAAAACCAAAAAACCGAAGAACCGAAATCGGTGGTACTGGTTCGGTTTCGGTTTGGAGAATTGGAAAAACCAGTACCACCGGTTCGGTTAAGGTTCGGTTAACCGAACCATGGGCACCCCTAGGCACAGGCCTTGAAATGCACCTCATCAGTGCTCCTATGTGTGGTGCCACATATCACATTGTGCATAAAACATAAAAATAAGCCCAAAAAAGTTAATTCCTAGATAACCCTTGTTTGACTAATACGCCAGCCAAACCAATTGATCTGTTGACCCATTCAAACCCTTGCTCTCAAAAATTGCAAAGTCCCTTCTTTGTTATTTTTCTACTTTGGCTTTTGAGTTTTGTTAGGAATATATTTACTTTCTTCAAAGGAGCACAACTCTTTGGAAGTTCTAAATCAGTTTTAAAAGTTTAAAAAGATAAGATGCTATTTTAGATTTGGAGCTAAATGAAGCTCAGTCATTGGTCGGTGAATACAAATAATATTCTAAATTTTGGAATGGAGTGAATGAAATACAAATTTATGAGCAGTGTTTGCTGCCTTGTTCGGTGTAGACAGTAGACATTCTTGAAGGTAAACTGGTACACACTCCTTGAAGCTACTAGATGATGACTCCTAGTAGGCCCTCTAGGTGTTGACCACTAGAGAAGCCTAAATTCTAACTCATAAGTTATTCTATCATATCAATATTGTCAGATGCAAATCATATCTGATGATCAAAACTATGAAATGGTTGCCAAAAAAAACTATGAAATGGTTGAGCTTTCCAGGTCTCAGATTCTTTGACAATTTTTACAAGTTGATTGATACAGGTTACATATGGCATGCTTTCAAAACATTAACTCTGATTGGTGATTCTGAGAATCAGTTTTGAGTTTGGATGTATGAAAGTTGCTGGTACTAAACCCTTTTTTGGCTCAAATCTCATTCCAAGAAATGATTCTCTGAAGCTAAACAACATAGCTTCAAAAGAGAATCATTCTTTAACTCAAAATTCCTTCTTCAAATAGTGATGTAACTAGCATCAGTTTTGAGTATATTCCTTCTTCAAGGAATATTAGTATATGCAATTTATTGATTATTGCATTTGGGATAAATCACAGCAGACAACAAAAAATGCAGATGTGACTGCATAACTTTTTCAACCATCGTAAATAGATAACCAGAAGAAAAGTAAACCAATCAATAACAGGCTGTTATTTTACCACTTCAGAATAACTTAAATCTTAGACATCCTCATCATGGGCTCATTTGCACAACGCCATTGACCTTTCTCAATTTTTCTGCAATTAGGGCACTGCATCATTCCCCTTGCATTGGATGCAGAACCAATGCAATCGGAAGCAAATCATAAAACATAAAAGTAAGAAACATGATAAAGAGCATCCAAGAAGTGTCATACAAAATATTCATTTCCCAAAATAAGATTAAGCATGCAACATAAGTCAGTGAATCGCAGTGACACCATGATTGCAAGGCAATCCACCAAAAAATGGTAGGTTATGTTTTTTTTTTTTTGGTCAATAAAATGGTAGGTTATGTTCAATGTGAGTCAACTTCCCAAGGTTGAACAAAATCAAGGACTGACTACTTGATGAGATATCATGGCCTATAGCTAGGCAAAGCCATTTTATTGGAAATTATTTATACATGAACTAACATGGGCAACAATCTACAACCTTCTCGGGTTGGAGCAACTCCATGTGGTAAAAGAGTTCTCTGGCCCCAGATTGCCAAGATGGCACCAATGAGGATATTGTCCAAAGCAAGTGTTCCTTTTATTACTAAGACAAGGTTGATAAAACATCCATCGTTGTCCCATA